GGGGGGGGGTGGAGAGGAGAGGCGAGGCGAGGCGAGGCGGGGAGAGGCGCTGTTGGGACCGGCCGGCCCGCGGGGCTCGCCCGGCGCTGTCCGCCCCTTCCCGCTCTCTGTGAGGGAGAAGCGAGGCCCTTGGAGCAAGGAGCAAAGGACGCTGCCTTGCCCTTGTTCTCCTTTAAACGTGGAAAATGGGCTGAAACCCCTGAATTTCGCGCTCGCTGAACAGCCAGGTCACCAGCGTGGGCAGGGCTGTTGCAGCCTTGCACCTCGGTTCTGTTTTTCTTCTGTTCCCCCTTTTTGGGTTGCTTTAGGCCAGGGCTGTGAGGGGTGAAGGGCCTGAGTCCCTCGGGCTTTTGTCTGCCATAAGACTTGTGCGTTGAAACCCGCCTTGATGACAGGCAGTTGTGAATTGTCTTCCCCCCCAGAAATGAAGTCCCAGCGTTGTTAGAAAGCAAACGGGCACGATTTCTTTTTGGGAATTTGGAAAATATTTCATGTTAGCCAACTCAGACTTTTATTAGAAAACAGATGATGAATGTTTTTGATGCTAAGATTCATCTTTAATGATGAAAATATGATTTTTGAATTGCGTGTCTCTGATTTCTCTCTTTAGACTGTATCTGATTCAGGAAAGGAGAAGAATTCTGGCAGAAGCACCTTGCTGAAGCAGAGACCAACTGTGTTCCCTGATCCTGACAATGACACACCACGGATTATGCTCAAGAGAATCATCCGGACCCGTAAGTATCTTTTTTCAGGAAAACAGAACAGAAGGACAATGTTTTGGTGTAGTTAAGGACAGGAGGTGTTATTTTGTAGTGTGTTATTCTTACCCTGTTACGTGGAAGAGAAATCCAGACCATTGTATGACCGATTTATGTAAAAAAGGAGGAATCGCTGCAGTGGCAGCTGAACAAGGTCATGCAATACAGACCAGGCCTTACATTGATGAAAACATACTCTTGAAAATCTTCTTCACTCAGCCATCTTATCCTGGTGAGCAAGCATGTAATCTTTGTGCTGCCTTTAGCTGTAGGATCACGTGTAAATTATAGAGGCGTGCGCTGTTGCCAACTTCAGCTCAGCTCTGCTGCAGTGTGTGGAACCCCCATGCTGCTATTTGCCACTGTTGGCTTTGTCATTGTATGTGCCAGCCTTCCTAGGAGTAGAAGCCAAATAGTTTTCACCGGGTCTTTGTTTTAACCTGTTAATAAATGTAATTTACGGAATGTAGTGTAGATTTGATGCTCTGCTGTATTTTGGCATTCTTGCTGGATTGCATTGTGAAAAGGAAATGTTTTGGTTTCTTGGCAGAACCACAAGTTTCTCCTCTAGCACCTCAGATATCTAAACATGAAGAAGCAGAAGAAGCTCGATCAGAACTCCCATCTAAGAGGGTTTCCAGCATGTAAGTAATATTTGTGGTTTTTTACACTGCCAGGTACAGCTGCAGTTCCTACGATGAGATTGGGGAGCAGGATTTCTTTACTTCTGTTTCAGTGATCAGAATTGTGTTCTGTCAGGTGGAATTTTCAGAAATACTTCTTTGGCATTAAAAGTTGCATAGGAATCACTGGGACTGGGGAACTGAATAGTAAATACTTCAGGCTTGTGCTTAGTCCCGCTTCTTAAATCCAGACTCTTAGTAGCTTTTTGCAGTGGAACTGCTGGATACAATAAGTCTCCTGATGGAAGCCTACTTTTCTTAGTTGTCTGTGACAGATACTAAAACACAAGTTCTTGGATCTCTCCAAGGCTACAGGCCATGTGCTGGCGACGCTGAGGTGTAATGAGTGACTGCTATGGCTTGTATTCAGAACGCAGGCTGCTGTAGCTTTTTACGGTTTTACTGCTTCTTGGTTGTCCTTGTTTTGGGCTGCTAGGGGTTACTGCCTTCCTATAGAGTGGTTTGGAGGTGAGGTTTGCCTGAGGCTCAGCTGCTTTTATTCATGTTTATTTTAAGTTAATAGGCCTGACTGAGAGGCTGAAGTGTGGTTTGTTTCCTTCCACTTTCCTATGAAATAGAAGAAAACTAGTAGTGGTGGTAGGTCTTAATTTGTTTTAGCCATTTTTTTCACAACACTTACATGTGTGTTTGCTTACTGCAAAATAGGACAGACAGTTCTAAATACGTGAATTCCTTTGATTTGTCTTTAGAACTAAACTTTTTGCATTGACTGTAAGCAGCCTTAAACAGCTCGTCTAAAGTATTAGGTAACTTATGTCTTTCTGATCTTTTTAATAGAGGAAGAAAAACCTGAGTTTTCTGTAAGTGTGGTAGCTTGATGGTTTTGTTTGTTTGTTTTTTCTAAATTAAAAAAGATGAGCAGTATTATTTTAATTCCTTCTTGATTTTGCTTGTTGTAGCTCTTTAACATCTCTGAATGCGCTTCTCGTCAGCCTGTCTTAAATGAAAAGATCAGATGGTTGGATCTTTGCAGGATTTTATACTCCATATGTTAGCTAGTTGTTGAAGTTAAACAGGTATAGACTTATAAAAAATATTTTAAAGTTTTTAAGTCTTTTTTTTTTTTTTAAATTCCCTCAGAGCCTGCCTTCAGTTGATGTGAACTTTCTTGAACTTGGAGAGACACTGCTTTCCCTAGTCGTAATAGCATCTTCCAGGATAGATTCAAAAAATGAGCAATCTTTTTTTCCCCGCCACTTTACATTTGATCCCCTTTACAAGCCAGTTAAATCTAATGCTTAGGCTTACATTATGCTCATAATACAGTAATGAAACTTAGCCACCTTTCTGACTGGTAGGGAATGTATTTTCTAAGAGGGAAAGACCCATAAAGGTGATCACCTTACCGTTCTTGCTGCATTGAGGCCATGTTTGTTGCCACAAAGGATACAGAATGCTACATCTGCTGAATGCGGGCTCTTGGCTGGGGGAGGACACGCTCTGCTCTAGTTCTGCAGGGCAGTGTGGAGCGCTGGCAGCAGCTCACTGACTGAATGAGAGGGGTTTCTTTGAACTTCTCAGTAAAGGGGGAAAACAACTCAGAAACTTACTTTCTGATCCTGATCCAGTGCCTGACTGGGATATTACAAGTCTGTTCCATGTACCAGCTTTGTGATACCTAATGTTGTTTCACGATGATGGCTTTTTTCATTGACACCATAATGACTGACAAACCTAATTGCTGTTGTGTGCTGTTAGGAGAAGAGAGCTATGGAGCTTGTTGGAAGCCCAGGCTTTTACTCCAGTCTGACCTTTCTCAGCCCTGTTGTTTTGAATATACACTCAAGTTTTGATTCTCTTACTTTGTGAAGTTTACTTTGATTTAGTAGGAGGGAATGATGCGTTCCTGCATTTGCTGAGCTGATCACTGATTAGCTCCCTCTGCTGCAGCAAGAACAAATAATTTCTATTTGTTTTTCACTGACATTACAGAGACCTTTATAAGGTAGCTAAGAAGCTAAAGTCCTGTGTTAAAGGCTTGGTTTGTATTGGTAGGGGGGAAATGCAACTGCCAGACCTTGTTCCTGAGGACACATCTGTCACCACATTCCGTATGACAAAGAAGAGAAAGAAACTCAGCATTTCTGAATTTGAGAGAGCAGCAGACAAACGACTTCCTCAGAACCAAGGTAAGGCCACAGTCAAAAATGACCTTGTTCAGCACTGCATTTGCTGTCAATTGATTTTCACCTGCTGCAGTTTAGTTCTTAGTAATTTCTCAGCTGGGCAGTTGTACATTTGGAAGCAAGGCTGCGGTATCTTGTGCAAAGGGGATAGCAGAGAAGGTAAAAGCCCCTCCTATGAAATTTAAAAAGAGCCTTTTTGAGCTGAGTTACAGGCTCTGTGCTGACTGTTATATACTTCTTGACTATTTTTCCAACTTGGTGCTCTTTGAGTTTTGAAGTGTCTCCAAAGGAAGGAATCCCTGTCTTCCCCTCAGTTCCAGAAACTTTAAAATAGAACAAACCGCATACTTTTTGTTGCATTTATGTCAAATAAGTTATAAAGTTCCTGATTGAGGTAAGAGGGTCTTGTAGTTTTATAAAAGAAATAATATTTTATGTTGGAATAAATCTTCCCTTTAAAAATAAATTTGCAAATTTGGTAAATATAACTTTCATTTTGGTTGCAGTTTAACAGAGGCAGATAAAACACATCACCTTGGTTTACATGCCCTATTGGCAGCTGCAATGGGAGTAGAATTCAAGGGTGGGATTCAGCTCCAAATTAGACACCTGACTTACAGACACTCTGTGTGTCTGTGTACACTAGGTAACTGAAGTCCTCCTAAAGTTTAGGGGAGATCTAGTCAGTGGAGTCTGGAGGGTGATTCAGCTCACCCTAAAGTAGACGCCTACATTTGATTAATTGTGTTTGGATATTTTAATCTGGAGCTGAATCCCACCCTAACTCACCTATAGTCACAAAATTGACTTGTCTGTCTTTAGCCTGATACCTCATCTGAACATGTTCTGATAAGATGCGGGCAGCCCTGTAAAAGCAGAGGGGTCATGCTCTAGTATTTTCTAGTATGAGTATGATTATGTCACTGCTCTCCAGATCTGCTTTTGGATTGTTAGGACTTTGTGAGTAGAACAGGTTTGAGTTACAGTTTCACCAACAATCTGTGGAGTAGCTATCTGTATTTCTAAAGCTTCCAGATGCTTCAGTGTTTGGGAGGTAGAGTTGCTGAAGCATTGTTGTGACTGAGGCCCTAGCCTATCTTACTATTAATGTGGAAAGATTGATATTATTGAGTGTGAGGGCATGTGCCATATTTAAATTACATTTGAAATAACTGTTTCATTACCCTTTCAGAAATTGCTTATTAGAATTCTAACACGCAGTTCTGAAATGCAGACAAGAAATTGTAAAGTGAACCTGTCATCTAATTCTTTTCTCACCAAAATGTAGCTTTTGACAATTGTAGCATAACTGGGTCTAGAACGAGGAAGATCCATTGGGGTGTTCCTGTAGTCTGTTGTGTAGAGGGTAATTTCTCAGCTAGCGTGATTTCTCAACTAATGTGTCACCAACTTTTTCTAGCTCAGTCAACGTTGGACAGCACTACTTTGGCTCGGTAAGTTTAAACTAAAACGTCTTAACTTCTGACTGTCTTAACTATAGCTGCCTTGATTCATCACCCCTGTAGTTGTGATGAACGGTATAGATAGCTGGGTTCATGATTAAGACCTGTGTTAGTAATAACACAATCATCTCCCACTCTGTTGATGGAATTTGAAGGTGTCACACCACATACCTTGTGATTTTCAGAAATTGTGGCTCTGCACTCTATGCCCAGGTTGGTCTAGCTTGTATTGCTATTGCTCCTCTTTTTGCCTGTTAGGATCATTCCATTTTTCCTTTCATTCTCATGTTTCCAACAGTAAATCAGTACACATTATACCTTGCCTGTTAATTGATGACCTTAGAATATTATCTCATCCTGTTAATTGACTCATCACATCAGTTACATCTATGCAGTCTTTAGTCCAACTTTCCTGGACTTTAAAGGCTTTTTAGCAAGTCAAAGAACTTATTTTCCTGTGTTGCCCTTGTACTGTGCTAATGGTCCTAGCCATAATTAGCAATTTATTTCACCTTTCTCACTGCAGCCCTTGCTCATGGTCCCGTGCAAGGTGATTCATAGGACTGCATTCTGTACGTCCTCCGTCTGAATCCTCTGAATCCCCTTTTTGATTGGGCTACCTAGGACAGGAGGTAGCTGAGCATGGCCAGTCTCTTTAGGGTGCAAAACATGAACATTGAGATACACCTTTTCCCACTCTTTGCATGTTGCTATCTCAAAAAAGTTAACAGTGTGTTGGTAGCTGTACTTTGCTGTGAATAGATACTATAAGCGGTTTTTTAGACTTGTTCTGAAGACCTTCTGCCACCCTGCTGTCATCTAGAGGACACCTTTACTCTCAAACATTTGTTTTCCCTTTTTTTTTTTGTTACTTAAAATTTTTAGAATTCCTGAACCTTTTGTCAGATCTATTGTTGCAGCCCTCTCGAGGTAGGAGGCTGTAAAGCAGTCTGTTTCCTGATCTCTGTGATACATATCCTGATGTTAGATGGTACCATGAAATTAAACTATTTGTTTAAAGTAGACCGGCATGTGATCTTCAAGTTTTTTGGGGGGAAATTCCTCCTAGCTAAGGGATTTGTGAAATGTCTCATTGTTAGTGGCACCATGTCTGTAATCTGAGGGTAAAAGGGGAGTGTGTAAGTTTGGAAAACTATTTCTTCCCTCCTCTTTCTACAGATCTCTTCGCATGTCTCTTGGTTCCTTGATCCCACCAGACACTATTGAAAAGAGAGGCTTGCTCCGGAGGCCAAAAAATCGCAAAGCTATTGACATGGAAGCTTTTGAAGGTGGAGTGGAACAGAACATGCTGAAGAGAAAAGGTTTCTTCTGTGTTGTTACTTCGGTTTTGGGAGGGAGGGCCTTACATAAGGTGGCTTTTAGAAGCAGTTGCTGAAGTGTGGTCTGTATTTTAGGATTTAAAGGCTACTAGTGCATTCGCAGAAGTCCAGTGTAATTTGGGAGGCAAGATTAGAATGAGGCTCTGCATCTGTAGTTGCTTTGATTCTATGCACTTAAATATGCGCTTCAGCCAGTTTGGTGATTTATACCATGGGAATTGTTTGGGATTGTGTTCATAACTGTGGAGATGGTTTGGTAGAGAAAGTTAGGGGCACTGAAGTGTGGTGATACAGTTTCAGTGTTTGATCTGTGGAGGGTGAATAAAATTTGGCTGAATGACCTAAATTTGAATTATGCAAGTCCTGGTAATAAATGTGTGTCCCTATGACCTTGAACATTTTTCACATAAAACTTGTTTTAAAACTTCATCTAAACAGCACAGAACTATCTTGTGGACTCACAAACAGCATCTGGGATTCGAACAGCCATGCTGACAAGTGATGCGGAAATCATGCTGAGTAACACGGAGCTCTTTGTTCAGCCTCAGTTTGATGAACAGAGCCAAAATAAGCTTTCTGCTCTTGAACCACAGCTATCAGATTCAAAAACTTCAGCACAGAGAAGCAAGATTTCTGATGCAGCTCAAGAGGAAGCAAGGCTGGTGGATCTGGTATCCAGTGTGGGCACAAATGAGGGAAGGATCCAAAGATATTCTGAGGACTTAATCCTTGATCGTGAGCATATTGACAGAATGACTCGTGTATCTCCAAAAGCACCTGCAAACCAGCAAGAAGATAAGCAAGATCATTCCCAGCAGAGTAACCCAATGGAGCAGCTTTCTGTTTCAGAAGAGGTGGTGGTTGGCAGTGAGTACTATGGGTTAGGACTTGGGGCTTAGTGGGTGTTATCTGAAATGGCAGAATGGTTGAGGTAGGAAGGGACCTCTGGAGGTCATCTTCTCCAATCCCCCTGGTCAAGCAAGGCCACCGAGAGCAGGTTGCCCAGGACCGTGTCCAGGCACTTTTTGCACGTCTCCAAGGATGGAGACTGCAAACTCTGGGCAACCTGTTCCAGTGCTCAGTCACCCTCAGAGTGAAAAAGTGTTTCCTTATGTTCAGACAGAGCCTCCTGTGTTACAGTTTGTGTCCATTGCCTCTTGTCCTGGCACGGGTCACCACTAAAAAGAGCCTGGCTCCATCTGCTTTACACCCTCCCTTCAGATACTTGCGTATACTGATGAGATCCCCCTGACCCTTCTCTTCTCCAGGCTGAACAGTCCCAGCTCTTTCAGCCTTTCCTCCTAGAAGCGATGCTCCAGTCCCTTAATTGTCCTGGTGGCCCTTTGCTGGACTCTCTCCAGTGTGTCCATCTCTCTCTTCTACTGGGGAGCCCAGGAGCGGACACTGTAAATTGGTCACAAACATGGTGAGATAAGGAGAAAATGTGTAGGAGCTGTAGACAGAGTTAGGAGGAGTCTCAGGAGGTTACTAGTCTACAGCTTTACCCTGGTAAGGTCATTTATGTGTCACAGCTAACCTCTTTGCTTTCTCCACCACCTTAAAAATCCCTTGGACAGAGGTAGTCACCGCCCTGGTCACTCTGTACCAATGCTTTGCAAGTCCTATCACTTGTGGGTTTTTCCCTGGTGTCTGGTATCTCTCTTCTGCATTCATTTCCCTGTAAATACCTTGTCCCAGCTGTGTAAATGGGAGCACATTTTCCCCATATTGCATAGACCAGGCCCCAGGGCATGGTTGTAACCTTAAAATTTTCTGCTTAGTGACCCTGGGGCAGCTAGCCAGGACAGGATCTGCTGTAGTAAATAGGTTCGTGCAGTTCTTCAATCGAAACTCCTTATGCTTTCCATGAAGTATGGACAGCTAATGTTTGTTTTTCATTTAGGTTTTTTTATGATCCTTTGTCAAAAGGGCCACAGAAATGATATTTAAAGAATGGTTGGTGTATTCAGTACTGCTCAAGCCAGGGCAGGAGTTCTTAGAAAAGAAGAAAAGCTTAGAAATTAATTAATGCCTGGTGTCCTGGTGGACAATACTCTGCTTCTGGAGGGTTGTCTGTGGCAAGCTTGGTTGGAAAAGTTGTTTTGAAAGGACAAGGGAAGAGATGAACAGAAAAAAAAGGTTAGTTGTTCTGAAGAGTCCAATGGTAGGCACTTTTAGGACAAATGGGTAGATAACGCGGAGAAAAGTGTGGAGGACATGGAATAGGGGACTGGATCAAATGAGAGGAAGAGGAGTGGGAGCAAGAGCATATCTTAAAGATGCTGGAGTTTGTAAGGCATTAATGTCAAATGTTAATGGTTACATAGTTCTACTGTTTTACCAAAGGTAGCTGATGTCAGTGTTGCTCCTCAGTGTGAACTGAAAAATAGTTGCAAGGACTTTTCCAACTGGTTCCTAAGATACAACGTGAACTCCCTAAACTGTTTAAGTAAAGGAAGAGTGTTTTCTTGTGTTTATTCCTCTCTCTGCTTGGTTGGTGTTTTACTTACCAGGAAAGCTAAAAGAAAATTTAAAAAGATACTGGGGGCACATTAATGCTCTCAATTTCTAGCTGTTAATAGATGGAGCTCCTCTTTGCCATCCAGAAGTCCAAGTAAATATTTGGGATCCCCAATTACTCTAAAGCCTAAGAGATCTTTCAGCACGTCTTTGAGAGAAGTTGTGTCCCATATAATTGAAGACCTAGATGTAAGTGATGCAGAAGAAGAGATGGCTAATACAGTGAACGAAGTGGAACAGGAAGAGATTTTCAGAGAGGGTAAGAAGTGCTTTCGGTGTTGCAAGGGAATGGAGTACTTCAGTCTGATTAAAACCAAGAGTTTTTCAGGTGACTTGCAGGGTAAAATAAGACTTTATTGTGCAGTAGATGCTGGAGATCATTTAATTCAAGTCATATCAGAGACACTGCGAGCATTTCCAGACAAGCTTTCTAAAAGTAGGCTTTGACTTGCTCATGTGCTTTCTTGTCAGCGTTTGCCTTATTCACAGTGACTGCAAATGGAATAAATCTTCATATTTTTTGGTAGGTTTGTAGTGCTACTCGTCTTCCCATAGGAAAGATGAATAGCTCCCTCTTGGCAAGAAATACGTCTGGCTAATCATTCTTTTTGTTTGTATACATTTTAGTGTTTTACTATATTTATTTAAGCCATGTTGGCCATTATCTCCAGTACTAACCAGAATCTTTTTCTCTTAAGACGAGGGCTTGAAGGTTGCCCCCCCATTAAGTAATAAAGATTGTCACTAGTAGGTTGGGTCTTAATACCTCCTTGTTTCTGGAATAGAGCAAGTCATGCAAGTTGCCTGCTTTCACGAGCATGTTGTCAGATCTTTCCGAAATCCTTTTGCCTTAGAATAAGACAGTAAAAACTCTGCACAGATGCTGAGGTTGGCAGGTGTTACCCAGTCATTTCATAAAGCTTTGGGTACCCGTGGACACAAATTCCTGTGTTTTGTTGAATTTCATTTTCCAGACTACAGTTTAGGATACATTTTAAGTCTTTCCCATTGTTCCTTTGACAATGTCTGGAAATGAGAGAAGACTGTTGCAAACACGGGTTTAGGTTTCCCTGGGCTTAATTATGTGTCTGAAGTTTCATATGAATTACCTTACGGCAATATGGAAACTGAACAGTCTACAGCACCAACAGTTTTGTTATTGGAATTTTAAACTGAATCCTTGCAGTTCCCGTAAGTAACTGCTTGCACATACCAAAACATATCAGCAAAATTAGTTATATTGCCTTTTTGTCACGATAATACAGCCTTTTGTTTTAAACAGTTCTTCTAGAGTAGTTCATTAAGGTAGCAGATATTCTGCACCTCTAAATTTACAGTTGCCTAAGGTTGGCATCCTTTAATCTTTCTTGATTTTTTTGTCCTGTTATGTTTTTACTTGGGTGCAGCTGTGGAGCGTGATGTTTAAATGGGATGTGACTCTTGAGATCGGTGAAAATCAGCTCAGAATTGTTACAGTTCTGTGAACACCAGCTCCAAGCTTGAGGAGTGGTCAGAAAAGCAAATAACTTGCAAAAATTATTATGAAAAGAAGAGATGACAAAACATCACTGTGCCGCTACGGAAATGATTGTCATGCTCACCTTTTGAATACTGCGTGCAGTACTAACCTCTCCATCTCTAAATAGATTTAAAGGAACTAGAGGAGGTGCAGAGAAAAACAGTTTTACCATTAACGATAATCAAATATATGGAGCAGTTTGTGTACATTGAATGACTTAAGATAAGGACTGCTCAGCCTGGAAAAAAGACAATTGCTGTGAGAGTGAAATATAAGAAGTTTAAAAAGAAAAGCCTTGAGCATCACGGAGGAGATGATTCAGGAAACAAATTGAAACAAACAGCTCCCTGATCTGTTAGTGCAGAACCTAGAGAGGAGTGACTGGCACTAACCGCTGGCAGGTTATACCAAACTACAGGAGGTATTGCTACTAGCAATGGGTGAAGAAATCACTAAAAAGTAAGACTTGAATATGTCAATAGCATCTGGTACTCTGCTGTTAAAGTACTGTATCCCAGCAAGGATCCAGTAGTGTGGGAGATTCACTGGTGCCTGTCTGCCTTAGGCAGTCTTAATGTAGAGTTGAACTTTTGTCTTCTCCCCACAACGCTAGTTAATATTTTACTTGACTCTAGACAAGATTTTGCCCTGTGTTGGTGTAGGGAGCCCCATGTTCTAGTTAGTGAGATTGGTATTACTGATTTTTGTACCAAGCCAGATTTCCTTGTCCCCTTCACTGGGGCTTGGGGCTCCCAAGACCTTGATGCTTGTACTTTTGCGTGTGGAAACTCCCAGTCACTGGAGAGGATGGTAAAAAACCACTTCTACAGCTTCTGGTTCTGAGCTCAGCCAAGATTTCCAAACCCTTCAGCAAGTGACAGTACTATGAGAGTTCCCAGTAAGATTTCTCCAAATAATTACTTGTGTGGGTTTCTGAGCTACATGGTAACAGGCGTGCACTATAGATTTAGTGTGTAGGGACGCGGAGTATTTAAGTCATCTTCACTGA